TAAACACAGAAGGAATGGTAGAATTAGAAAATTACCAATTTGTAACCCTCAGTGTTGCTATTCAAGCAAGGATGATCCAGGGATGTGGTGTGAAAGGTTATCAGGAACACATAATTATAATAGACTCAGAGAATCACTTCACAGATTACTTATTAATTGTAAGAGAGAAAAATGTACCCTTACGATAGAGAGATCAGGTTGCCATGATCTTACCTAATAATCAAATGTAGCATTCATGGATAGTAAGACCCTGACATCATATCCTCCTGACATGCAGTAAGTACACATATTGCCAAAAACTCGACTCTAACCCGAATCTAATCATTGATAAACCAATCAAACATATTTAAATAGGTGGAGAAGCTCTATTTATTTATTTATTTACTTAGTTGAGATACAGTCACACTCTGTTGCCCAGGCTGGAGTGCAGTGGCACAATCTCGGCTCACTGCAACCTCCATCTCCCGGGTACAAGCATCTCCTGCCTCAGCCTCCTGAGTAGCTGGGAGTATAGGCACGCACCACCATGTCCGGCTAATTTTTTTATTTTTAGTTGAGATGGGGTTTCACCACGTTGGCCAGGCTGGTCTCAAACTCCTGACCTCAAGTGATCCGCCCGTCTTGGCCTCCCAAAATGTTGGGATTACAGACCTAAGCCACTATGCCAAGGGGCTCTATTTAGATTAAATGAGTTGATAAAAGAGATATAATAAAATGCAATATGTACACCTTGACTGGATCTGATTTTAAAAACCAAAAACTATATAAGGTATTTTTGGGCAATTATAATTTTTTTTCTTTTTTGAGACAGGGTCTTACTCTGTCGCCCAGGCTGGAGTGCAGTGGCGCAATCGTGGTTCATTGCAGCCTTGACATCCCCAGGCTCAGGTGATCTTCCCAAGTAGCTGGGACTACAGGTGCATGCTACCACATCCTGCTAAATTTTGTAGTTTTTGTAGAGATGGGGTTTCACTATGTTGCCCAGGCTGGCCTTGAACTCCTGGGCTCAAGCAATCTGTCCGCCTTGGCCTCCCAAAGTGCTGGGGTTACAGGCATGACCCATTGCACCTGGCAGAAAATTTTTAATAACTATTACATTGGGTAATACTGACTTCTTGCTTATAATGCATAATGTATTATGGTTATGTAGTAGAATGTCCTTATCAGGGATACATGTTGAAAAATTTAGGGGTCAAACATCAATAAACATGTCTGTAACTTACTTTTAAACAATTTGGCCCAAAAAGTGTGTGTTTGTGTAAAAGCACAATTGGCAAATTGTGAATTGGCGTATCTAGGTTAAGGGTTGTACTTTAAGCTTTAATGTAAGCTTGAAAACTTTAAAAATATTTGTATTTTAAAAGAAGGGAGAAGAACACTTCCTTCATAGGGCCAATAGATGTAAAGTTACAGTCACAGTGCCAGACCCCAATAAATAGCCAGACTTAGTAAGTTACAGATTTACTACTACTACTTAGAAGTGTGAAAAGTTCATAATTTTCCTTCCCGAGTGTTGCTGAATTTTGAAGGGCGAGGATGCCAACCAGGGCTAAGTGGTGGAGGAGTTAGAATTTAAGCCTGGGTGGGCAGTCTGGATAAACTCACCACCCACAGAAACCACACGACTAGGCCATTTTTTTTTTTTTTTTTTTTTGAGACGGAGTTTCACTCTGTCACCCAGGCTGGAGTTCAGTGGCATGATCTCGGCTCACTGTGACCTCCGCCTCCCAGGTTCAAGCGATTCTTCTGCCTCAGCCTCCTGAATAGCTGGGATTACAGAAGCGTGCTACACGCCTGGCTAATTTTTGTATTTTTAGTAGAGACAGGGTTTCACCATGTTGGCCAGGCTGGTCTCAAGCTCCTGACCTCAAGTGATCCACCCACCTCGGCCTCCCAAAGTGCTGGGATTACAGGCGTGAGCCACTGTGCCCGGCCAGGCCTGCCTATCTTCTGTGCTGTGATTCTGCCTGGGAGAAGATGGCTGTTCAGGCCTTGTTTTTCCTGCCTCGTCATGAACCCAGAATCTCTGTACCCCGGCAGGAAAGAAACTCCTGTCATGACTCACTGTGAATGTTGACAAAGGCCACTCCTGGGCCTCAGAAATGTCAAGGATGGGTAGAAAGAACTGGAGAGAGGCCAGGCACAGTGGCTCATGCCTGTAATCCCAGCACTCGGAAGGTCCAGGTGGGAGGATCGTTTGAGTTCAGGAGTTTGAGAGACCACCCTGGACACCATAATGAGACCTCGTTTCTACAGAGAAAAAAAAAGTTAGATTGCTTGAGCCTGGGAGGTCAGGCTGCAGTGAGCCAAGATCACGCCAGTGAACTCCAGCTTGGGCAATAGAGCAAGACCCTGTCTCAAAAGAAAAAAAAAAAGAAAAGAAAAGAAAAAAAAGAACTGGAGAGGCTGTGTGGGGTAGGCGCAGACCATGCAAGGTATTCGGCATTACTTGGGTTTGTATTTGAATCATCCCCTGCCCCTTACTAGCTGTGCAGCCCTAGGCACGTTCCTGGGCAGATGATGATTGTAACAATAACAAACACTACAACAGTAATAATAATGGCTAACATTTATTGAGCAGTTATTACCATGCTAGGTACTTTATACATGTTAATCTCTTTCAATCTCACAGATGAAGTAGATACTATTACATACCTACTTTACAGACCAACCATACCAGGCCCTCTTCAACTTCTGCAATTTGGCATCTGCCATCCCCTCTGCCTGGACCTTGAAGACAAATCCCATGCATCGGCCAGGTCTCTCAGCTGGAATTCATTCCTTCTCTGCATCTCCGGAGAATTTTATTCTAACCCCTTACCACCGCCAACTTTACTTAAGTAAATGGATGCCTGGCTCCCCTGCTGGGGCTGGGGGTGCCCCTTTCTATATCCACAGAAGCATGTAGAATAGGGAAAGAGGAAGAAATTTCTCTCCTGTTTAGTCAGATCCATTTTCCCCACCTGGATTTTTAAAACTTTCTAATTTTGAAATGCTCTCTTGAATTTTCAATCTGAAATCTAAAGGCATGTGACAAGGCTGAGGTGATTACTTGGGAGTAAATGCAAGGAGAGTTTCCACTACGTAAGGGAATGGATAGCAAGTGGCTGGGTAAATTTCAAGAAAGACAATGCTCAGAGTGACTACTGTGTCTTCCAGTAAGTCGGAGACTTCCCCACCTTACCCCACCGGGGAAAGGACTCTGCCTTGAAGCCCCCAGGACGACTACCCTTTCTTCACCTCCCCTTCCTGATCACCCCACATCAGACAGCTGCATCTATAATTGTCTTGCCCAGTCCATATCTCTAAGAAGCCCGTAGGCTGCTCTATTACCATCACAACCCATAAGTAGGGAGAGAAAAGGTGCTTCTAGACACAGGGACCCCAGAATGAGTTGCGCAAAAGGCAGGAGGAGAGAGAGGTGGGCTGGAAGAAGGACACCACAGAATCTGGCACGGCAAGGTATTCTTTCACCTGGCATAGACCTCCAACCACCACTACCATCCCCTAACCCCTTCCAGAACTTTCCTTCACCTTCTCAGCTCACTCTCACGCTTCAACTTGTGCTTTTCCTCAGGCACCAGCACCCCATTTCAAACTGCTCTCTTCCTACCGTCTCCTCCAAACAGTAACTTATAAACACTGTGCTTTCAAATCCATCTCATTTCATCCTCACAGTACCATACGAGGGCTGCCTTACAGACTGCCATTCGGAAGGGTTGCGGGGACTGGTCCTGCCAGAAAATTTGCGAAGGTCAGGGCATCAAAACTTTTCTTTCTTTCCTGCCTGCCATGCCAAGCTAAACCCCTGCCTCCCCGAGTGCAGGGAAAAAAGCAAGGTATTTGAAGTAAGGAGTCCTGAGTGGTTTTAGGCAAGTCCCTTCTGAGCCTCACATTCCTCACCTGTCAACTGCTATGGTGACGCCTCTACTTTCCACGGCGTAAGAGGTCAAGGAGATCACGGGTGTGCAGCACTGAGCTCGGGGATGGACTCTTTATTTCCAGTCAGTAAAGGGAGGTGTTCTATGCATCACAGGCTTTTGCCCACGCCGCCACAGCGCTGCCGGCCCAGGGCTCTCCAGACCGGGGCGAGTTCCCTGTCATCCGTGTCTCCGCCCTTCCTTCACTAGTCCCACCCAGGCTGGCCTCATCGGCTTTTTCCGCACCCACTCCCCAGTCCTAGAGCCCCGACTCCGACCTGACAAGTGCCCCACCCCGACCCAGATACCCCGCCCCTCCTTGTCCCACCCACCAAGGACTCCTCCCACAGTCCCGACCCTCATTATCCGGGCTTTTCCGACTATCACCATCCGCCCTAGCTCCTCCCACCAGCCCCACCCCTCTAAGAGCTCTGCCCTCCTCGGCTCACCTCGCGCCGAAACGTGCCACCTCCCCCGCACCCACAGGCACTGCCATCCCCATTTCACAGATGGGAATGGCGAGGCTGGGATAGATTCGTCTCATGGTAAGACAGGTGCCCAGTGGGCCCACGTACCCTCGCCGGTAGTCCCCGAGTCCCGCGACCCCGGCCGCGCCGCACCCACCTCCTGCCCTCGCTCTGCAGCCTCCCCTCCGCAAGCGGCCAGCGCAGCTTTGCGAGGAGGGCGGAGGGTCGGAGCCCAGCCCAGGGGCGTGGCGGTCCGGGGTCCGCGCGCCGCCTTCCGGGACTGGTAGTTCTCTCTGGGCTCCTCGCAGCTCGTTGCGTCGAGAGCGAACTCCATCTCCCAGGAGGCATTGCTGCGAGTTGCTCTGCGCCCCGCCTCGTCCCCGCCGGTGTCCGGCTGGCTGGCCTTAAAGGGGACGCGGTCAGAGTGGCAGCTCGCGGGGTGGCCCTCGCTCCGGCTCCGCCCCATTTACAGCACCTCGCCCCTCCCCACGCTTCGTCCCGCAGCCCCGGGGCCGCGCCGCACAGTCGGGCTCCCTGGGTGCATAGAGCCTTGTGCCAGGCAGGGTGGGAAGACTGGATTTTGCAGTGGAAGCAGCATCTCTTCCATCTGGGACCTGGCTGAGGGCGTCCCCACCCTGGGGGGAGCAGAGGACCAGCCCTGACCTAGCCCGGCCCAGCCCTGTCCTGCCCGGCCTGAGCGCCCCGCCCAGCAGCCGGCTCTGCGGCAGGGCCCGCCGGGGTCCGGGAGGTAAGGGGGTTGGGGGAGTGTGTCTGGCTTTGGGGGGCGGTGTCTGCACCCAGGCGTTTCGAGAACCCTGGACTTGCGAGCCCAGGGCTGGGATTCGGGAGATGTGGGTGCATCCTGGGCCTCACTGTGTGACCTTGGGCGAGTAGCTACTCCTCTCTGGGCATTAACCCCCTCCTTCTCCTATTGTATGTCGAAGTGATCCTGCTCCCTCCCCTTTCAGGTAAGAGGACATTCGCACCCAGGACCCAGTCCATTCGCTCGCTGGCTTTTCGTGGGGCCCTCCAGCTCAAGCGTGGGCTGGGCTCGGTGCACTGGAGGAAGGCAGGTGGCCGAGCTGGGGCACAAACTGGGGGGCCCGAGGCCACCATTGTTTGGAATGGGTTTTTCCTATTCTCAGCATGCTGGGCCCTGGGATACCCTCCCCCCAGCCCCGCTTACGGCTCTGGCCCTTGCAAACTGGAGACCCTGATGTGTCAGCTTGGTGCACTTCCTTCCAGAAAGCTTGGGGTGGAGTGTGGCCCTCACAGGTTTGTGAGGGGTGGCCCCGCAGGGATAGGTGTGTGTGGTGGGTTCCTGAGGAGGAATAGCTGTTCCTACTTTCTTCCCTTGTCTCTCCTCCTTATCCTTTAAGGAAGAGCAGTTGCTTTTTACCAGTGAAACCATTTTTTCTTTTTTTTTTCCAGGAGACAGTTTGGTGGCCCAGACATGGGCCTCCCAGAGTAGGGTGAAGCACTTCTTCCCAGGGTTGCCTTGGGTAGAAGTTCAGTTAAAAAATACCTAGAGAGATGCTGCCATTCAGACACCTGAGGGCCCAGAGATGGAGGACACCACCTAGTGTTGGGAGGGGCAGCCTGGTACCCCCAGGCAGCTCTGGCTCCCAAGGGAGTCAAAGGAGGGAGGCTGGCTGTGAGGGTCAGAGAGGGGAGAAAATGAGCTCCTCAGCTCTTAGGTGCTGAGCAGGGGCTGGGAGGGGCTGCTGTGACCTGGAGCAGGGAGAGGTGGAGTAACACCATGAAGCCTTCTTTTCAGGTCCTAGGAGATACTGTGAGCTTTTGACCTGAAGGCTAACTAGGAACAGATTTTTTTTTTTTTTTTTTTGGTTTTGTTTTTTTTATTTTGTGCTTTTTCTTTTGCTTTGGTGGTTTGAATGATTTCTAGAATGGCTAAAGCCTCCGTCCAGTCCAGTGGCCTCTGTAGGGGCTTTCCTGGCTGATGTTTAAGATTTTCAGGGTTTTTGATATGCAAGACCAGGCCTGGGCAAAGGAGCGGGCGCTGACCGGACCAAAGTTTAGGCCAGTTTCTGGAAGGTACTTTTCTGGTCACATCCTTGGTTTTCTCTCATCTTGCTGTCACATGTCTCACATGAGTCGCTTGATGCACCTTCACTGACACCTCAGTCCTTGGTTCTGCACTGGGCACTGGGCTCAGAGACAGGGATTGGACCTCTGCCAAGGGAGGTCCCAGCGTGGTGGGAGACAGACATGGATTCCAGTTACACTGCAGAGGGATGAGGATAGTTAAGAGGGCCTTGGAGGCCAGAACTTTAGACACTTGAATTGTGGAGGGAAAAAGAAAGGCTTCCCAGAGGAGAGGGCATGTGACCTGGGCATTGAAGGGTGAGTCAGAATTTTTCAGGAGAGAAGAGGGAGAGGCCCTTTTTCAGTAGACAGGACATTGTGCAAAGTAGCAGTCAGGAAGAAGCCCCCTGCCCCAATGTCTGCAGAGTCTCCACTGAACAATGTCGCTTGAGTTCATCTCCATCCCTGCCCCACATCAGCTGAGTGTCACAGAAAGGGCTTGCATGTCCGGCTCAGGAGTTTGGACCTTATTCTGGGTCCAAGGGGCTGGAGAGTGTTGAGACTTCTGAGCAGGGGCACGGGCGGAATGGTGCTTACCGTGTGATAAACTCCATCTGACGCTGCTGCACGGTGGGTTGGGGAGACCGAGGAGGGATGATGAAGCCTGAGCCGGGGCCCAGGGCGTGGCAGTGGGCTGAGCATTGGAGTTGTGTACACACACACACACACACACACACACACACACACACACACACACTGGGTGCTTTGGGGTGATGCAGATAAGTCAGGCTTCACTATGCAGGAGCAGAGATCAGTCAACAATCAGCAGAGACGCTGAGGGTCATCTGAGAGGAACAGGTGAAGGAATCTGGGCCTTTTGGCAGAGGGATTGGGATTTTCCTGAGTGCTCACTGCGTGCTGTGGCGTGTGCTGGTGTTGCTGGAACCCCCCTCAGGCTGTCATGCGGGTAGGGCGAGGGGTATGAGGCAAGGGCTTGGGAGGAGCAGCAGCGCTGGCTGGGAAAGGCTAAGGCGTGGGCAGGTAGTCCCCTTCTATTTGGGCATTCCGAGGATCAGAGGTGAAAGAACACCTACCTCCGTGGTGGCTGGGCTAGACTCGAAGCCTGGACTGTGTTCTCCAGGACACATACCTCTGTTGGAGGTTGGATTGAGGGAGGGAATTGGAAGATGGGTTAGGAGGCCACTGCACTAGTCCAGGCGAGAAGTCAAGGGGACCGATCCTGTGTGGAGCTGGGAACACCGAGGCGGCAGCGAGGGCTAATGGAGGAAGTGCCTTGGAGAATCAGTGGGATCAGCAGTGCGTGTCTCCTTGTCTCCTTTCCCTGACAGTGTCTGTGTCTCCCGTCAGTGCCAGGTGGCCCAAAAATAGACTCATGACTGCCCGGCCCTCATCTTTTTTACACCTTGTCTCAACCCTGTGAATGGCAGGCTTGGAATAGTCCCCATTTTCCAGATGAGAAGGCTAAGAAGCTGGGCAGGGACTCGCCCAAGGTCGCCTGATGACTTTGAAGCAGAAAACCTGTGTCTTATGCTTTTCCTGCAGGCTCTCCTGGGGGACGATACGGCTGCTGTTTGCTGCTGTGGTTGGTGCGGGGCAGCTGTCTCTTGAGTCAGAGCCAGCATGGACAGGCCATCTCCCCACCCGGGGCTTGGCAGGCTAATCCAGCCCTCCTGAGGGAGGCAGAGTGCAGGTTCTAATCCTGCCTTGCCAAGGCCATGTTCCTCTACCTCTCTGAGCCTCACTTTCCCCATTCCTGCCAGTGGGATAGCTGGCCTTGTCCTGCCTTCCCTGGCCTGATGGAGCCAGGTGAGGTGCAAGCCTCTAAAACCCTTTTGTGTGAGTGCATCCAAGATATTGAGTGGGTTTGCTGGTGACCATGGTGACAGCTGTCCTCAGACTGCCTGCGTGGGAGTTGGGGCAGGTGGGCAGGGCTTGCTTGCTGTGGCCAGGCTACAGACTGAGCAGAGGCTGCTGGCTGGCCTTGGAGATCAGAGCTCTCATGGAGCAGCTCTATTTGAACTGTCAGCTGCCAGCCTTATGTGGTATTAGGTAGAACAACATGAAATTGCCAACATTTGATCATTCAGTTTTATGTGGTTCAGTCTAATATCATTTGTCCCCATTTTACAGAAGAGAGGCTCATGGATATGATTACTGAGGGTCACACAGGGAGTCAGGGCTAGAATGTAGGACTCCTCATTCCTAGTCTGATACTCTTTCCACTCTTTCTGGTACTCTTTCTACTACCAGAGTCTTCCCTGTCCCCAGAACTCCATTTCTTCCTGCCCCTGTGCCCTCTTGCTTCACACATGATGCCAGTGCATCATGGATGAGGGTTTCTTCTTGGCTGCCTGAGTGCCAGGATTTCTTGGCATCCTGGGTTGAAAGCATATGAAATCCACTAGCCATCCCAGGGGTCTGGGAGGATGGACTGTGTGTGTGAGAGAGGTCAGCCACAGCAACTGCCTTGTCACAGGCACTGTCTAGAAAGGGGACCAGGGCTGATGGGAGAGTTAAAAAATTTTTCTTTTTTTTTTTTTCTTTTGAAACAGGAACTCACTTTGTCATCCAGGCTGGAGTGCAGTGGCGTGATCTCAGCTCACTGCAGCCTTCGCCTCCCAAGTTCAAGTGATCCTCCTATCTCAGCCCCAACTAGCTGGGACCGCAGGTGTGAGACACTGTGCCTGGCTGATTGATGTAATTTTTTTTTTTTTTTTTTTTTTTTGGGGTAGAGACGGGGTTTTGCCACGTTGCCCAGGCTGGTCTTAAACTCCTGAGCTCAAGCCATCCGCCCACCTTGGCCTCCCAGAGTGCTAAGATTACAGGTATCAGCCACTGTGCCCAGCTGGGAGACCAGTTTTTAAAGACACTTTATAGGCCTTTTGAGATTATGCCTTACAGGGGCACCCTTACAAACATTTCTGCCTCCCCCATCAGACTGGAAGCTCCTTCAAGGCAAGGACTTTGCTTCTAAAGCAACAGGAGTTGACATTTTCTGAGAACTTCCTTGTGCCCAGCTCAGAGAGCCTAAGTAACCTTTATGGGAACCAGAATGTATCCCAAATGAGCCACATTCAGAGTCAAAACAAAAAACAGAATTGAACACATCATTTCCCTCATTTCCTCATTCAGGAAGCTTAGGATGGACCCTAAACTTTTTTTTTTCTTTTTCTTTTTTTTTTTTTTTGAGACACGGTCTCACTCTGTCGCTTAGGCTGGAGTGCAGTGGCACGATCTTGCCTTACTTCAGCTTTGACCTCCTGGGCTCGCCACCACCCCTAGCTGGTGTTGAACTCCTGGGCTCAAGTGATCTGCCTGCCTTGGCGTCCCAAAGTGCTGGGACTACAGCCGTGAGCCACCGTGCCCGGCTGCATCTGAACTTGTAGCAGGTGCCCAGGTGCTTCTGAGGCATCCAGGCCAGGATTTGGGAACCACTGATCTCTGCCATGGCTACAACCTCTAACCAACAGCGAACTCTTCAGAGGCACACACTCTTGGCATGAGAGATGCTAGCCAAGACTAATAAGCCCTGGTCCTTTTCTGGTGGAGCTCACAGCCTGGTGAGAGAGACAGATATTTAAACAAATGGGCCCTTTGCATCCTAACACGTGCAGCAATGGAGGTTAGGTCACAGCTGAGAACTAGAACAGAGCAGGGAGCTCACTGGGCCTAGTACATAGTTGGGGTTCCAGAATATCTGTGATTCTGAATAAAACTTTCCAGTTTATTATCCAGGAAATTTAAGGCTTGTCCACACTCTAGCTCCAGTTCTCAGGCATAAGAGTAGTTTTTACTGAGCCCATAAGTTTAAACACCTACTATATGCTGAGTCTTATATCAGGTCCTGCCTAGATTGGGTTATACATCGAAGCAAAGAAATGGTTCTGCCCTCCAGGAGAGGCATTAAGGGTTAGATGTTAAGAGAGCAAGCTGTGCTCACGTGAACCTGCATGAGAGGGCTCAAAGTGGATTGGTGTGGGACAAAGCCTTCCGGAAACAGGCCAGATGGAGAAGGGCAGAAGGAAGGCTGTTATGGCTCAGAGGAGTAAGGTAGAGATAACTCACACTGCACCCTGCATTTTTTGCTCATCCAGCAAATGCGTGTGTGCTGTGCACTGTGCTAGGTGCTGGGGATACTGTGGTGAACAAAACCTGAAGCTGCCCTCAGGAACCTTATACAGCGTTGGAGGGGAGGCTGACCCCAATCAAGAAATCATGACAAGTACTACCAAGGAGAAGGACAAGATGTTCTAATTTTTAATAAGAGAGATTGACCCAGGCAGGGGGATCAGGCAAGGCTTCCTTGACGAAGTAACTTTCAGCTGAGGTCTGCAGGGGGGAGGGAAGAGCATCCGCAAAGGCCCAGGGGCAGAGGGCACACGGTGAGCCAAGGGTGGCAGGCTGGTGTGGGCTGAGGCAGGCAGAGCCCTAGGTGTGCAGGGCTGGAGTGTGGAGACGAGATGCTCCGCTTTAGTGGAGGGGACTGGAACCCACACCACGCCAGTACTAACTGATTCCAGCTGTAATGGAAGAGGCCACAGGTGATTGTAGGAATCAAGGGAGGGGGATGGATTCCCGCCTGGAGGACCAGGGCTGTTCTCACTGAGGACAGGTGCTTTAGATAGGCTTTGAAGGAAAAGACGCTTGCTTGGTTGTGTGACAACATGGTGGTTGTGGCGGGCTCAGGAGATAAGGACGTGTCAGGCAGAAGGCGCAGCACACACATGAAGTGGAGTCTAGCCGAGGGGTAGGGCACTGGGGAGGGAGCAGGGAGTTGAGGCAGAAAGGAGGAGTGCAAGGGATTCTGGGACCTCTGTCTGTTCTCCCTTAGGGCCTCTTGCCCTTTCTCCACAGAGGTGTGATTTTTTGTGTCCGCCCCATCTCATCTCCCCGGTGGGCATGACTTGGCTGAGACTCTGGACAGCAGCTTCTAGATCCCGCTTCTACCTGCCCTGAGAGTGGACAGGGTCACCAGGGAGGCCTGGGGAGAGACGGGCAAAGGGGTAAGGATGGGGAGGGGGCTCACGTAACTTTGTGCGATTAAAGGTGCTTAGCAACCATATCTTCAAGTCCCTGGGGTTAATTTATTTTGAGACAGGGCCTCTGTTGCTTAGTCTGGAGTGCAGTGGGATGATCGCCACTCGCTGCAGCCTTGAACTCCCAGGCCGAAGTGAGCCTCCCACTTCAGCCTCCAGAGTAGCTGGGATTACATGTGTGCGTCACCACTCCTGGGTAGTTTGTATTTTTTGTAGAGACGGGCCTCGCTGTTGCTTAGGCTGGTCTTGAACTCCTGGGCTCAAGGGATTCTGCTGCCTGGGCCTCCCACAGTGCTGGGATTACAGGTGTGAGTCATCACGCAGGCCCCTGGCGTTTATTATGTGCCAAGTGTTGTGCTTTACTTCATCAGGATAGCTTGCAGTGAAATGACGTCCTTGCCCCATTTCACAGATGAGAAACCTGAGGCCCAGAAAGTTTGAGTTGCTTGCCCTAAGTCTCAGCACTCAGGGACTGCACCGGGAACTCTTGAGCCCCGCGGTTGTCGGGCTGTGACCTTGCTCCCTGTCCTCCGCAGCGCGGGCGCCATGGACAAGATCTTGGAGGCGGTGGTGACGTCGTCATACCCGGTCAGCGTGAAGCAGGGGCTGGTTCGGCGCGTGCTGGAGGCGGCGCGGCAGCCTCTGGAGCGTGAGCAGTGCCTGGCGCTGCTGGCGCTGGGCGCGCGCCTCTATGTGGGCGGCGCGGAGGAGCTACCGCGCCGCGTGGGCTGCCAGCTGCTGCACGTGGCCGGCCGCCACCACCCCGACGTCTTCGCAGAGTTCTTCAGCGCGCGCCGCGTGCTGCGCCTGCTGCAGGGTGGCGCCGGCCCCCCGGGCCCCCGCGCGCTCGCCTGCGTGCAGCTGGGTCTGCAGCTGCTGCCCGAGGGGCCCGCGGCTGACGAGGTGTTCGCGCTGCTGCGGCGAGAGGTGCTGCGCACCGTGTGCGAGCGCCCGGGGCCCGCGGCCTGCGCGCAGGTGGCACGGCTGCTGGCGCGCCACCCGCGCTGTGTGCCCGACGGCCCCCACCGCCTACTCTTCTGTCAGCAACTGGTGCGTTGCCTCGGCCGCTTCCGCTGCCCAGCCGAGGGCGAGGAGGGCGCCGTGGAGTTCCTGGAGCAGGCCCAGCAGGTGAGCGGGCTCCTGGCGCAGTTGTGGCGCGCACAGCCCGCCGCCATCCTTCCCTGCCTCAAAGAGCTGTTCGCGGTCATCTCCTGCACAGGTGCGTGTGCGGCCGGGGCAGGAGCGCGGGCACGTCGAGGTCCTGGGTGGGCGCTTGGGCAGGTGGCTGTACGTGCGGATCTCTGCATGCGGGTGCCCCATGTGGCCCGTGTGCCAGGGGCGAATGCTCAGGTGGAGGACTGCAGCCTGTCTTCATGTAGGTGGCACAACTATGTAGAACACTTGCTGTGGGTCCTCTCCTGCAGTAGGTGTTGGAAATGTAGGGAGGAGCACGCTGGTGTGAGAAGGACGCGGGTCAGTCTGGCTAGAGGGAGGAACAAGAAGTTGAGCAAACCACAGGATTTGGGGCGGGGGAGCGGGGGTCATTATGGCCTTCGGGTTAGGTGAGTTTGATAGAAGCTATCACTTTAGAGCCAGGAGTTGACAGATTGGTGGCACCTGGCAGCAGGGGCAAGGTTCCCTCGGCAGGCAGAGGTGAGGGTCTGGAGAGGTGATGGAGTCTGCTGTGCAGACTCGGAAACGTAAAATCTTGATTCTCCATTGACAACCGTGGAACTTAGACTACAATGCAAGTGAGTGAAAGCAGATGTGTGCCTTCCCTGATAATGAGGCTCTCCAGGGGAAGGGAAGGGAAGGGAATGCACCCGGCTGGGTGAAGAACTGAGGACAGTAGACTTCGAGAAGGAAATGCTCTTTCTCATCTAGGGCTCTGTGCGGCTCCACTTGGAGTATCTCCTTTCTCCAGTCCACACAGCCCTCCCACCTTCTCTAGCCCGAGCGTTTCCCCTTCTAAAGGCCTTGCCCTTACACCCACTGTTGATCAGTGCTTGTCTGTGCCCAGCACAGGAATAGCCTCAAGGCTGTGCTAGTGAAGGTCTGTTGAGTGAGTTTAGGTGGAACCAGAGACTTTGCTTGCTATAGGAGAGGAGGTGGCCTCTGCTGTGCTCTTCGCAGAGGCCCAGCCTGGTTCGTTGGCTGCTGCAGGGCATGGTGTGCTGGGGGAAGGGAGGAGGCCTGCCTCCCTGCTGAGCTCAGCTCTGTCCCCTGTTCCAGAGGAGGAGCCACCATCTAGTGCCTTGGCCAGCGTGGTCCAGCACCTCCCATTGGAGCTCATGGATGGTGTTGTCCGGAACCTCAGCAATGATGACAGTGTGACGGACTCGCAGATGCTGACTGCCATCAGCAGGTGGGATGCTGAGGCTGAGCCATGGTCAGGGCTGGGGCCCCTCCCTCTCTTCCTCTCAGAAGCCCCTTCTCCTGGGTGGGACACTGGGCTAGATTTGGAGTCAGAGGGCCCAGGGCCTCATGCGTGTTCCATCATCCATCCTTTCTTGAGCCCTGCTCTATGACTTGCCTGGGGCTGGATGTGGGGAACACAGAGAGCCTGCCCTAGTGTTGCTGTCAGGCCAGGTACCAGCAGTGTGACCCTGGACATGCCAATGAGCTTTCAGCCTCAGTTTCCCCCTCTGTAAAAGCAGAGGTGGGTGGTGGCATAAGAAGCTGTCAGGCATCCTTGGGGTTGGGTAAGAAGTTGAGAGTGCTTCATGAGGTGCTTTCTGAGTGGGGCAGACATGAGAAGCAGAGTTTGGGTGCTATTCAGCTCACAGAGTCCTTGCATATCCCCCACCTCATCTGAACGTCCTCCTCCCTGTGATCTAGACGTACCTGCCTGTCCAGTTGTCCCAGAATATGCCGCCTCCCCTCCTCCCTGCAGGCCTTTGCCTATGCAGACCCCGTCCACCTGGCATGCCTCCCTCTGCCATTCTTTCCATCCCGTGTGCAGATCCACCGTCTCCGTAGGGCCTTCCTGGATTCCTTGCCTTTAGTGGGTAAGAGTGTGGGCTCTCAAGGTAAGTTGCTAGAGGTCAAATCCCGCCTCTACCACTTCTTGCCTGTGTGACTTTGGACAAGTTACTCAACCTCTCTGTTTGAGTTTCCTCAACTGTAAAATGGAGTATAACCAAACCCATCATCTAGGGTTGTTGTGAGGATTAAACTGAGTAAAACAAGATAATACACGTAATGTGCCTAGAACTGTGCGGTGGGAGCTGCCGTTATCATCATTGTTGTGACTTTGCTGTCACGGTTCTGTCTCTTTCTAGCACAGTCCGCTGAGTCTAGGCTGTTTTCCTGAGCACTGACAGCATGGCAGCTGTGTGCTCAGCCCGCACAGGCAGGCTGTGTTGTGGGGTCCAGAGGGGCTGATACATGTAAAACTGATGGAATATCCTGCTCAATGGTGAATACGACCTAAGTGTTAGCTGCTGTTATCTCCTTTAATCCATACAAGAACCCTCTGAGGGAGGTATTATCCCCATTTTACAGAGGAAGAAACTGAGGCCCAGAGCAGGGAAGTGGCTTGCTCTGGGTCACACAGCAAGAGCTTGCTTCTGGAAACCAGAGCTTCTGGCCCAGGAGCACTGCCCTTCCGGGCAGAAGCAGCTGAAAGCCTTGTTCTGGCACTGCAACCAGCGTGGAGGGGCGAGGCTTGGGGTGCCGAGAGGGCCTGGCTCCCTTCCTGATGGGCTGGGAGCCTCAGTGTCTGGCAGGTGGCTGTGCTGAGCTCATGCTTTTCCCAGCCGTGTGTGGTTCAGACCACAGACCCCGGGGCTGCCCGTTCCACGCGTGAGTCCATGTGGGAATGCAGGACATTACGGCTGGCCCCTGGGCTGTCCTCACGCCAGCATTTTGAGTGTCCCTCGTCCCTGTGTCACTGTCACTCCCCTCACCAGGATGATTGACTGGGTGTCCTGGCCCCTGGGGAAGAACATTGACAAGTGGATCATTGCACTGCTGAAGGGCCTGGCTGCTGTTAAGAAGTTCAGCATCTTGATCGAGGTTTCGCTCACCAAAATTGAGAAGGTTGGTGCCCCGTCCTAGCCCAGACTTACAGCCTTTTGCACTAGGCTCTTGCCAGGGGCGGTGCAGGTCTCGGAGGGCAGAGCATCGGGCCTCCCCACCAAGCTCGCAGTGTGACCTGGGTGAATTCACTGCCCCTCTCTGGGCCTCAGATTCTCCCCATTAGTTTCCCTGACTGCTCATCCAAGTATGTGTGTCTGACTTTTGGTCTCTCCATGCATTCCTCAGAAATCTATCTTGCTGTCCATCTTGCCATCTTTCTGTCCATCTGGGTCTGTGAGCACCTCAGTGTTTATCCCTCTGCGTGGGTTTGAACTCTAGGGTGTCTCTGAGCCCCCTCTCAGGCCTGTGACTGCACTTGGCCTCGGCAGCTCGGGCCTGGGGACTCCTGACCAGGGCCTCTCTTCTAGGTTTTCTCTAAGCTGCTGTACCCCATCGTCCGGGGAGCTGCCCTGTCTGTGCTCAAGTACATGCTCCTGACCTTCCAGCACTCCCACGAAGCCTTCCATCTGGTAAGGGCCCTGCCTGCTGCCCCTGGGCTCTTGGTGCAGGTCACTTGGCTGAGGCCAAACAGCTGAGGCGTGGGCTCTGGCCTCCCTTTGGCTGTGAGGAGAGGAGTAGTCATCCTATTTTGCAGATGAAGAAAGTGAGGCAGGGTGTCTTAGATCATATGTCTGGGAAAAGGAGTCACCTACCTGCAGAGTTGAGAGCCCCATCTGGGTCAGGGCACAGTGGTCAGGTGGGCAAGCCTCCCTACCTCAGAGAGTGCTGCGTGCTGTCAGCAGGGACCGCAGCCCCGTGTCTCAGGTGGGCGGGTTGGTGCTGAGCCTGACCCAGCTCTGCTCCCACAGCTCCTCCCTCACATCCCCCGCATGGTGGCCTCTCTGGTCAAGGAGGACTCGAACTCGGGGACCAGCTGCCTGGAGCAGCTGTCAGAGCTGGTCCACTGCATGGTGTTCCGGTTCCCGGGCTTCCCGGATCTGTATGAGCCTGTCATGGAGGCCATCAAGGTGAGTGACGGTCCCCTACTTGGGCCTCGCCCCACTCTGACAAAGGTGCCAGTGTGGGCCTTCCTGTGGGCCATACCACAGCTTGGTGGCAGTCCCCGTCACCTCCCCAGGTCCATCATGTGCCTCGAGCACACTGAGCCACTCACGTTCCCCAAGTGCCCGGGCTGCCTTATGGCTGCTCTGAGCTTTTGCACGCACGGTGCTCTCTAACCGTAAACCCTTCTCTGTCACTGTAGTGTGGACATTAAAACACTTTCTCTTTCTCTGCTCTGCCTGGACAGCTCCTACTTACCTTGTAAGTCTCTGTTCTAGTGTTACTTCCCTCAGGATGCCTTCCCTGATCACTGTCGGTACTCCGCTGCCCTCCACCAGGCTGGACCAGGGCCTTGCTGGGCTCCCACAGTCTTGGTACATCCCGCTGTCACATGTTGTCACTGTCTGCCTCCCTTGCCAGACTGTGAGCACTCCAGACCAGGGATAATTTACAGTTGTTCACATGACTTTACGGATGTCCTGCTCTGCACCAAGCCCAGGCTGGGAACTGGGGGCGCGGGCGTGAAGCAAACGGAGTCTCCTCCATTGAGGGGATCGCAGCCTAGTGAGGGTGACAGACTTGGATACAAGAAACTCTGGTCGGAGCAGCTTTTGAAAATGTCTACAAGGTTTGGCTTGAGAGCAGCGAGAAACCAGAGGAAGGAAAGATCTCCAGTTACAGAAGACAGATGAGGCCTCATTAAGCTGGGCTTGACAGGTTGCTAGGATCTGACAATGACTGACATCTGTGGCTACTGCTACACATGACAGTGTTTTCCTGTATGTTATGTCTTCTGATGCTCGCAAGAAACCTACAAAGAAGATATGGTTCATTTCAATCTCATAGATGAGGAAAGGGAGACTTGCAGGTTTGGTGACTTGTGCAAAGTCACGGAGGTAGTGAGACATGTAGCTGGAGTCTGGACGGCAGAGCCCTTCCCCATTGCCTGATAGAGAAGGCAGGTTGGGCGGGGCGAAGGGGTCTAGGTAGGTGGCCCTTGCAGAACCCTTGATTTGACTTTCACATCTGCAGCACAGCAGATGAGATAAACTGAAAAGGGTCCTGCTACAAAACAGCTAGAAATGCTTGTTAAAATATAACAAACATCACTTTAAGTACATAGCTGAACTTGCAAGAAAGTAAGGGGGAGTCCCCAGGGGCCAAAAAGGAAGAGAGAACTGAATTCCAGAGTGGTAGGTGAGAAACGAGGCTCTTCCTCTGGGGTGAGGCAAGCGCGTGGGTGAGATGGCCAATCTCAGTCACAAAAGGGCTTGAGTTGGTAGGGACAGGAGGTGAGACTTAGGGCCTATCCCCAGTAGGGAGTTAGCACTAAGAAGGCCACTAAAAGCCAGGACCCAAGAAAGGTTTTACCATTAGCAAAAGAATGGTCTGGGGAAAAATATGCACGTGGTTTTAAACAGACATCAGGGGAACTTTTCTGGCTTGTTCTGGGCTCTGGATTAGGGGAAAAATGTAATCAGTGGCCTGCTCTCATGTGGATTTAGGGGTTCAAATTAATATCATTTTGGGGGTTGTGGCCCTTCCCCACATTAAAAGTAGTCATAAACTTGTAGTACCCATGGGTAACCTGGTAGAAAGACATAAATCAAGCCATAAAGGTAAAGTTCTACTGAAAATGAGTTTGTAGTCCAAAAATTATAAAACAAAGGAACAATCCTGCATGAATGACAGTTGGTAGATGCAATAAACAAAACTTCTGCTATTTACTTAGATCTTCTCAGTTTTTCAAACTAGACACGAGAAAGAACTTTTGATAATCAAAGCTGACCTCCAGTGGAAGGGGCTGCCACGATCGGCCATGAGCCCTGACAGTGGAGGCGGATAAGCGGACCTTGCTGTGTCAGGTGTGTTACCCAAGGGTTTCTACATGGAAAGGGAGGTAGGAGGAAAACTTGGAGATGCTGTGGCTGGGTCTGTTTCCTGCTAGATTGTGAGCTGCTGTGGGCAGGAACCCTGTCCTTTTGATCTTTGTGCCTAGTAGATGTCTGTGAGCGAATGAGTGGGATATTGTTCGAGCAGGACGGTAGTGTGGAGAATGCTGTAATGAAGGTGCAGGCAGAGAGGAGGGACCCTGCCCTGGGCACTGAGGAAAACCCATGATGAGTGAGATGCAGGCTTTGTACAGCAGGGGCTGATGGATTGTCTGATCCAGGGGACGAGGGGAGTCTGCACATACCTGTACCAGTAGGGGCAGGGAGTTAGGCTTTGTAAGATGATACAGATACAGTCCTTCTCAAGGACCCTGTGCCTTGAGAAGATCCTGGAAAGCTTCATAGAGAGGGGATACAGGAGTTTGATCTTGCTGGATGGGGACTAGAAAAGGACACTGTGGATGCATCGGAGGGAGAGGCATGGAAGTGGGAACGTGTGAGGTTAGTTTGGTGGTAATGTGTGAGGGGAAGGGAGATGAGAAAAACCAGCAGAGCAGTGCCTTGAAAACTAGGTTGAGCCACTCGGCTAGATCTGGGCTTCTTGAACGTTTCCATCCAAGCACTTGATGTCAGAGAGGGGAACTCACCCAAAGCAGCCTGATATGAGCTCTGAGTTTCTCTACAACCTCACTTTCTCTCAAAGACTCAAGTATATATGTTGTAATTATAAACATGTTTTAATATTCCATGTTTTTCTTTGAATGTTAGAAAAGATGGCTTCACATTTGTTCTGTGGCTTTGAACACTCCTTTGTACGAGCCAGTTTGAGAGGCGAGGCAGCAAATTATAGGATTTTACTGCTTATAAAATTATTTTGCATGGGTTCTATGAGTACATCCTTTTGTACATATACCTTTGTAAATAAGCTCTGGAAAGTTCTCTGACTTAGGCAGATGTATCAGGTTGTGGCAGTTTCTCTGGGAGCTGTGGTACTTGCCAAGGGAGCCATCACATGTCAGTTTCTAGTAACATTATTAGGTTCTTAAGTGATTTTGAAGTTTTTATTTTCTTGAGTATAAAGTTACCTTCTTTGGGAATAATGGCATTTGATTTTGTTCCTAGCATGGATATTTTTGCATCTTCTGTGTGTGTGCACGGATGTGTGGGGGTTCTGTCTGCCTTTTTGCCTCCATTTGTTCATGTTGTGGGGTAGGGGGGCAGACAAGTAGGGGTAGATAGGGCATCATGAAAACAAAAAGGAAGGGACGAAGAAGATACTGAGCCTGTATCTTATCTGTTTCCCTGCTGGCATCTCCTTGGTATGTGTGTGTGTTTTTAATCATCTGTGAGAAGTGACTGCTCTGATAAATTATCCGATAAATGATCTTGGGAGGTGAATGAGCAAAAGTGTTAAACCCCACTGGGTGAGCAAGACCTTTTGTGGGAGCCACAGGATGTGCACTGGGAAGACGAGGGCTTTGGATGCCGAGCTGTTTTGAAGCTCTGTGAGCCTTGGACAAATCTAAGGTCTTGTGGCCAGGATCTGGAAATAAGATCAGGGCTAGGGGAACCGTTAGGAATGTTGCTGAAATCTAAGTAGCAGGACGCGGTGCTTGATGTTGCTCTTTGGAAGATACCTCTAGCATCATTAGAACTAGTGCTCGGTGGTATTCTTAGGTGCAGCTGTTTGATGTGACACAGATAATGAGTGGGAAACATGCTGAGGACCAAGACGCATACCTCAGACCCCAGGGATGTGCCCACTGTCCTGACTGTGGGGTCAGGTTGTGGGGAGGTGACTCTTCTCTTGAAAGCTGATTCCGCAAATCTAAAAGTAAAAGGTGGAAATGGGCACATCATTGTGTGCCCGCACCATGAAAATGTAGGATGCCAAACTGACACAAGGTAGGCGTATCCTCACTTGACAGATGAGGAAACTGAATCAGAGAGCCTCACCACCACCAGACAGCTAGTGCGGACCAGAGTCGGGGCTGGCATTGGCATCCTGACATCACTGGGTTTGGCCTGTGGGCCAGGGTTGGCATTGCCTGAGCTCTTTTAAGAACATGCGTATTCTTCACTTACTGACAGTCATCCTGGACTATTATTTTCTGTCTGAATCTTCATTTTTTCCATCTATAAAATGGGAATTATGCCACCTTAAGGCAGTCATGACCTGAAAGACCATGGAGGCAGCCCATATGTCAACTGAAGGGGTTTGGAAGCAGGGGACTGTTCACACACACCCCAGAACATCTGTGGGGCGGGGTGGGGGTGTGTGCCTGGGAGGTCACGGGGTTGGCTGTATCTGAGAAGGCCTCCCAGAAGTGGTGATATTTTTTTGAGCTGACCCTGGTGCCTACCATCCTGCCTGCCCGCTTATTCCCTCCTCAGGACCTCCATGTTCCCAATGAGGACCGCATCAAGCAGCTGCTAGGGCAGGATGCCTGGACTTCGCAGAAGAGCGAGCTGGCAGGTTTCTATCCCCGGCTCATGGCCAAGTCAGACACAGGCAAGATTGGTCTCATCAACCTGGGCAACACGTGCTACGTCAACAGCATCCTTCAGGCCTTGTTCATGGCATCTGAGTAGGTGCTGCTTTGGAATTCCCTGTCTGCCCTTGCTTCTCTCCTCTGGGCTCCCTGATGACAGGTGGAAAGGTGGGGGGGGCGGGCAGGGGTTGGAGAGGGTGGGCCTTGCTTTGCATTGCCGGCATGATTCCCTGAGGTCTGTGGGGACTGAGAGCCTCAGGCCATTGCCAAGGCAGTAGGTCAGGACTGAATGGGAACTGAAGAAGGGGCTTCAGGGGCTGGGCAGCACTGGGAAAGGGGTCTGCTCTGGGCTGGCTGACATCACTGACTCTTCTCCTGGAGTCCATGGGGGTGGATTCGGTCTTCCAGAGTAGAACTCCCACCCATCCTGGTATTAGACATCTCTCTTTTAAAATGAAACCAACACAATCTTTATAGTCTATGGCCACCTATCTACCTATGGCTTACTTAAAAGATCAAAGTTTCAGCTTTGATTCAGTGAACTTTGATTCTGGCTTATCATATGTCCTCAAGTCAGTTTCTTTTCTCTGAGCGTCAGTTCAGTGGGAGGAGATTGGAGCTGATCTCCAAGGCTGCTGCACATTCTTCTCAAAATGCCTGGTGAAGGACTAGTTTTGTTTTTCTTTTCTAAATTCCAGTCTGCTGCAGAATATTACTTTGGTAAAATATAACAAAATGACTTACTAGAAAAACGGTCACATGCTTGTATGGTCGTTGTGATGCTAAAATGCTATGTATGTTTCTAAGTGCTCATTCAACTTCTGACCTTACCTTGGACTGAGACCAGCCAGGTGGCCCACACTTTGCCTAGGGCTCTTCCGTGCAGTGGGCTGAGTTTGGAGAGTGCATGGGCAATCTGCCCGGAGCTGCTTGTGAGATCAAGAAATAAGCTGCAGCCTGGGAATTGGCTTGTTCCAGAGAATGTTCGTGTAGGGAGGGGAGCTGTCTCCTATAGGATCAGACCCTTCCCACTAGGAGCCAGTCCACCCATCCCCACAGGGTCCTCTTCTTTCAGCATATTCCTCACATTGACCTCTGTCTCCCTCATTGGAAGGCAGGGGAACAGCTTGAGGTGGCTCTAGGGGCAGGGCCCAGGGCCCTCATAGGAACTGTAGGAGTCGATTGGAGGGCCCAGGTCAGAGCAGGGCCTGCTGCTCTGGAGGTGGATAAATGTCTTTCCCCAGGGAAGCAGCTAAGAAGGGAGTGCGAGGGGCTGCTGCGGCTGGGATGATATTGGCGCGGATCCTGTGGCATGTCCCAGCCCTAGAACCCTGGAACCACAGGACCTTAGGACATTTGAATCTTTGAGTCATGAAGTTATGAGGTCTCAGAGCTGGAAGGGGCTACAAGGGTCACCTTTGTACCCTTCATTGTCCAAAACATGTCTATTGTTGTGTTCCTGACCTCAGATACCCCAGCCTGAGTTGTTCGCCTGCTCTTCCTCCCCAGTCCCTGGCCTCTGGCTCCATCCTGGGGTAGAAATATCTGTTCTGCCTTTGGCCTGGAGGCTCTGGGCTGCCTGTGACATGCATGACTAGAGACTCCTTGGGGGCCCACAGCTTACCTTGGGTGCCCCTGCTTTGTTTTGAAGCTTCAGACACTGTGTGCTCCGCTTGACTGAGAACAACTCACAGCCGCTGATGACCAAGCTGCAGTGGCTCTTTGGCTTCCTAGAGCACAGCCAGGTGAGTGTAGGGGGAGTCAGAACGGGGTGGAGAGGCAGCTCTGGTCAGGCCCTGACACGGACACCTTTCCCTTCCCCAGGACCTGCCTGCATCTGGCTGTCATCTCCCATGTCAGTAGCTGAGCCCCCAGTGGGCCTGGCATATGGAGCTAATTTAGTGCCCCCCTGGGGCAGGAGGAGGGCCCCCTTGAGCCCTGTCCCGTGTTGTGCTGCCCAATCTTCCGCCTTCAGCAATTCAGTCCATCGCATTATGGTGTTGCCGTAGTCCATCTTATGCTGCTATAACCAAATACTTGAGACTTGGTGATTTATGAAGAAATTTATTTCTCAGTTTTGGAAGCTGGGAGGCCCAAGATCGAGGGGCTGTGTCTGGTGAGGGCCTTCTTGCTGCATTACAATGTGGTGGAAGGCATCACGGTGTGAGAGCATGCATGAGAAGGGAAAGCGGGGTGAACTCATCCTTTTATCAGGAACTTGCTCCTGTCTCAGTGTGCACCGCTGGGGAAAGCAGATGGCCTGTGATAGGGAATTAATACATTCATGAGGGCAGAGTGCTCAGGACCTCCTCCCCTCTTGAAGGTCCCACCTCTCAACACTGCTTCTTTGGGGACTATGTTTCCAACACATGCTTTTTGGAGGACACAGTCACACCACAGCATGTTGCTTCATTCTGCTGTCATTTTTGAGTACCCACATGACCAGGCAGCCTGAGAGCTGTTGAGAGTACAGAGGTGAACAGAACAAACACCATCTCTGCCCTCATGGAGCCCAAAGCCCTTGGCCAGGGATTATACAAAGCTCCGTGTGGGGGCACAGAGATGAGTAATCCCTCCCTGGCTCATGGAGGGAAGGGAAAGGTCAGTGAGGGAGGGTTGGGAAGACCACATGGAAGAGGCGGTGCTGTATCTGGGACTCATCTTGACGGGAGAGAATGGCAGTGAGCGGAGGCAGGGAGAGAATGTCTGAGGTGTACCAGGGAGAGCAGATTCCTAGAGGCTCGTTCATCTCTGTGATCCCCATGCCCTGCTCAGAGGCATGGACATGTGGGCTGGGATGGGTCGGGGACAATAGAAAGTGGGGAGGACTTCATGGAGGAGGCCGGGAAGTTTGAGGCCGAGGTTATGAGGTAGACCGTCAGGCCTAACCTGTGCAGAGCTGGCTGGTGAGTGGCCTCCTGCTCCTGACCCTACCTTTCACCTGTCCTGTCCTAGCGGCCTGCCATTTCCCCAGAGAACTTCCTTTCTGCATCCTGGACGCCCTGGTTCAGCCCTGGCACCCAGCAGGACTGCTCGGAGTATCTGAAGTACCTGCTGGATCGGTAAGGGGGCCAGGGCCACGCGAAGGCTGCAGGTCTAGAAGGTCCCTGGGAGCAAGCCCAGTACCTCTGAGCTGTGTTGCGGCTTCCGGGGAAGAAGTGTGCTGCCTTGAACATGTGGAGGGCTTGGAGAAGGGGTGTGCTGGAAGGGCAGGGACTGAGTGTGAGGGAGATTTGGTAGATGCTGAACGGAAGTGACCTCTGGGAGGTCATCGTGTACATCTGCACACTGGGCCGTGCATCTTTGTCACTGCTATGGAAGCACGTTACATAGCTCCAGCAAGTCTTTATGTAGGGTGTGTGGGTGAGTCTAGCAAGCGTGCTGTGTGAGCACATATGTGGATGTGTGAGCGTTTGGTACGTGTGTGTGGCTGTTGGGGAAGATAGATGGGCATGGATAAGCTGAATGCCCTGGAAGGGGACCCACATGTACATACAGAGACTCTGCTCCCTGCCCCAGGCTGCACGAAGAGGAGAAAACAGGCACAAGGATCTGCCAGAAACTCAAGCAGTCCAGCTCGCCCTCCCTGCCCGAGGAGCCGCCGGCCCCAAGTTCAACCTCTGTGGAGAAAATGTTTGGAGGCAAGATAGTGACTCGAATCTGCTGTCTCTGCTGCCTCAACATCTCCTCCCGGGAGGAGGCCTTCACGGACCTCTCTCTCGCCTTTCCTCCTCCTGAGCGCTGTCGCCGCCGCCGCCTGGGCTCTGTGATGCGCCCTCCAGGAGACATCACAGCCCAGGAGTTGCTCCCAACAGCCAGTGCACAGGGGCCAGGCAGGGTGGGTCCTCGGAGGCAAAGGAAACACTGCATCACAGGGGACACCCCTCCCACCAGCCTGGACATTGAAGGCCTGGACTCCAAGGAAGCTGGTGGGCAGAGCAGTCAGGAGGAAAAGGTAGAGAGGGATGAAGAAGGGAAGGAGGAGGGAACGGAGAAGGAAGAAGCGGGGGAGGAGGAGGAGGAAAGCACCAGAGGGGAGGAAGAGAGGGAGAAAGAGGAGGAGGTGGAAGAGAAGGTGGAGAAGGAGACAGAAAAGGAGGCTGAGCAGGAAAAGGAAGAAGACAGCCTGGGAGCGGGGAGCCACGTGGATGCTGCCATCCCCTCCGGGGAGCAGATGTGTGGCTCTGAGGGCTCCCGCTCTGTCCTGGACCTGGTCAACTACTTCCTGTCCCCTGAGAAGCTGACAGCAGAAAACCGCTACTACTGCGAGTCGTGTGCCTCCTTGCAGGATGCCGAGAAGGTGGTGGAGCTGAGCCAAGGGCCGCGCTACCTCATCCTCACACTGCTGCGCTTCTCCTTTGACCTGCGCACCATGCGGCGCCGCAAGATCCTGGATGACGTCTCCATCCCCCTGCTGCTCCGCCTACCACTGGCTGGTGGCCGGGGCCAGGCCTATGACCTCTGCAGCGTTGTGGTACACTCTGGAGTGTCTTCGGAGAGTGGTCACTACTACTGCTATGCCCGCGAGGGCGCTGCCCGCCCTGCCCCTTCTCTGGGAACTGCCGATAGGCCAGAGCCCGAGAACCAGTGGTACCTGTTCAATGACACTAGGGTGTCCTTCTCTTCCTTCGAATCTGTCAGCAACGTCACCTCCTTCTTCCCCAAGGACACAGCCTATGTGCTCTTTTACCGGCAGCGGCCCAGGGAAGGGCCCGAGGCTGAGTCGGGCTCTTCTAGAGTCCGGACAGAGCCCACCCTGCACAAGGACTTGATGGAAGCCATTTCCAAAGACAACATCCTTTACCTACAGGTGAGCTGAGCCATGGGGCCTTTGATCTGATCTCCTGGTGGAGGGAGTTCAGTCCCATCACTGGCTTAGATAAGTCATTTCCCCTCTAAGTCTTTTTTTTAAATCCCATTCATCCATTGCTCAGTGCTGGGCATATACTGGTGGCCCAGACAGACCTAACCCCTTACTTCAAAGTAACAGGCACTGAATAATGAATGACACAGGTTTATTTTTTCTTTAAGTCCCAGGGTACATGTGCAGAATGTGCAGATTTGTTACTTAAAGGTGTGCCATGGTGGTTAGATGCACAGATCAACCCATCACCTAAGTATTAAGCCCTGTATCTGTTAGCTATTCTTCCTGAAGCCCTCCCTCCCGTGCCACCCCCAGCAGGCCCTCGTGGGTGTTGTTCCCCTCCTACCCCCAGCAGGTGTCCATGTCTTCTCATTGTTCAGCTCCCACTTACAAGAGCATGCGGTATTTGGTTTTCTGTTCCTGTGTTAATTTGCTGAGGATAATGGCTTCCAGCTCCATCCATGTCCCTGCAAAGGACATGATCTCATTCCTTTTTATGGCTGCACAGTATTCCATGGTGTATATGTGCCACATTGTCTTTATCCAGTCTATCATTGATGGGCATTTGGGTTGATTCTATGTTTTTGCTATTGTGAAATGTGCTGCAGTGAACATACATGTTCATGTGTCTTTATATTAGAATGACTTATATTCCTTGGGGTGTATACCCAGTAATGGGATTGCTGGGTCAAATGGTATTTCTGCCTCTAGGTCTTTGAGGAATTGGCCACACTGTCTTCCATGATGGCTGAATTAATTTACACTCCCACCAACAGTGTAAAGGCATTCCTATTTCTCTGCAACCTCACCAGCATCTGTTTCCTGACTTTTTAATAATCACTATTCTGGCTTACTTGAGATGGTATCTCATTGTGGTGTTGATTTGCATTTCTCTAATGGTCAGTGATGTGGAGTTTTTCTTTCATATGTTTGTTGGCCACATGAATGTCTTTTGAGAAGTGTTTGTTCATGATATTCTTTGCCCACTTTTTAATGGGGTTTTTTTTTTTGGACATTTAAGTTCCTTGTAGACTCTGGACATCGGACTTATGTCAGATGGGTAATTTGCAAAAATTTTCTCTCATTCTGTAGGTTGTCTGTTTACTCTGATGATAGTTTCTTGTGCTCTGTATAAGCTCTTTAGTTTAATTAGATCCCATTTGTCATATTTTTGCTTTTGTTGCAATTGCTTTTGGTGTTTTCATCATTAAATCTTGGCCTATACCCTGAATGGTATTGCCTAGATTTTCTTCTAGGGGTTTAATAGTTTTGGGTTTTACATTTAAGTCTTTAATCCATCTTCAGTGACTTTTTTGTATAAGGTGTAAGGGAGGGGGTCAAGTTTCAGTATTTTGCCTATGGCCAGCCAGTTCTTCCAGCACCATTAATTAAATAGGGAATCTTTTATCCATTGCTTGCTTTTGTCAGGTTTGTTGAAGATGGTTGTAGGTGTGGAGTCTTATTTCTGAGTTCTGTATTCTGTTCCATTGGTCTGTGTGTCTATTTTTGTACCAGTACTATGCTGTTTTGCTTACTGTAGCCTTGTATAGTTTGAAGTCAGGTAGGCATGAGGCCCATGAGGCCTCTGGTTTTGTTTTTTGCTTAGGATGGTCTTGGCTATATGGGCTTTTTGGCTCCATATGAATTTTTAAATATTTTCTAATTCTGTGCACGTGAATGGTAGTTTAATGGGAATAGCATTGAATCTGTTACATTGGGCCCTATGGCCATTTTCATGCTATTGAGTCTTCCTATCTATGAGCATGGAGTTTTTCCATGTGTGTCCTCTCTTCACTTCCCTTGTTTGTTGTATTCCTAGGTATTTTATTCTCTCTGTAGCAGTTGTGAATGGGAGTTTGTTCATGATTTGGCTCCCTGTTTGTTGGTGGTGTATAGGAATGCTAGCAATTTTTGCACAGTGGTTTTTGTATCCTGAGATTTGCTGAAGTTGCTTAACAGCTTAAGAAGCTCCTGGGCTGAGATGAGGTTTTCTAGATATAGAATCATGTTATCAATGCAGTTGTTTAATAAGTATGCTGAAGGAGGAGCACAGGGACCAGTTGAGTCTGAGGGGGAAGAGGATGCTTCTGGGAGGGGGGGTGTGTGTGTGTGTGTCATGCTACCCACGTGAGCCTTCTATGTGCTATTTTACTGGCAGTGGCCCAGTGAGGGGCCTGAGGCGGGTTCTCCGGGACAGCTTCTGCCATGCTGTCCAGATGAAGGCAGGGTGGCGATAGGCTCTCCATGAGGCTGACCTCATGGCGGCAGGAGGATGCGTTTTCTCATAGGCAGAGCCCGTTCCTCGTGATCACGAGGCCTGTAGACAGGTTCCCATGTAGTGTGATGTGACCACCCCAGGCATCCTACCACTGAGCTGCAATGTCTCTAGGAGCCCTGATTCCTTCCTCTGTGTCCAGTCCCTGGGGACCCAGAGACGCCACTTAAAGGTGTGCTGGGTAGACTCTGGCTTCAGGTTGGGAATTCTAAGTTTCCTCTCATCTGTGTTCCCAGGAGCAGGAGAAGGAGGCCCGGAGCAGGGCGGCCTACATCTCTGCACTCCCCACATCTCCGCACTGGGGGAGGGGCTTTGATGAAGACAAGGATGAGGATGAAGGCTCTCCAGGGGGCTGCAATCCTGCAGGTGGTAATGGTGGTGACTTCCACAGACTGGTCTTCTGATGTGAACCTGCTGCCAACCCAACCCCTTCCCTCCAGGAGCCAGGTGGGGCCTGAAGGAGGCTGTGGAGGCAGGCTCAGTCCTGTAGTAGGCCTGATGGTACAGCTCATGGCACCTTAGTCCTCAGCCTGATGAAGGATACACAGAGACTCTCAGATACGGAAGTGAGACCTAAGTCCCTCTCACAGAGATACGGAAGTGAGACCTAAGTCCCTCTCACAGGGGATCAGTCCCATTAAGATTTTACACCCAAGTGTCCTGGTTACCTTGAAGCAGCTGAGATGGGCACACGCGGGTCTTTGCCTCCCCCTCCCTCCCCAGCAGGCTCCCCATGCTGGAAGAGCTGATGTTCAGGAAACAGGGCTGGACCTCAGCTCTAATGTTTTGACATCAAGTACTATTTTCCTTCTGACTGCTCTACAGTATAAAGCACAGCAGGATCCAAGCCTTGCACAAAGAAGGGGGCAGTGGTACCTCTGGCTGTCCTCTTGTTTCTCATATGGGGGTACCTGCACTGTCTGTACCTTTCTGAAAAGATCAGGTGGGAGGCAGCAGGGCCCCGGATCAGAGACCGAGAACTGCCCCCTTACCAAGCACCACTGCATGGTGGTGGGCCTAGTTCCTCATAGCAGGAGGCCTTTGCCCCCACATCCCCTCCGCCCCAGCCTGCCTCAGTGCCTGAGAAGCCACCACTTGCATCCCCCTCTCCTGGTTAAGGTAGAGTCCTTATTTTACTGCAGAGGTGTTCCATGTTCCTCATGAAGTGTGGTCTCTTCTGAGGAAGCTAGTGGGCTCCTCTGATCAGTTGGCCTTTGTAGCTGTGAGAGCAGCCACCTGCAGGTTGGGTGAAGTGCCCTGACACTGCTGTAGCCCCTTCTAACCGAAGAGAAGATACCCATGTTCTTAAATAAATAAAACTAGGTTCTCTGAAGCCTAGAAAGAGATCGTTCTTCCTTGGTCTCAGGGGCTGTGATAGCCGCTGGATTTTTCTCACGGGATCTGGAGAGGCTGACGGGTGGCAAGGTGAGGAGTCAGCCTGCCCCCCGGTGACATATGAGATGCCACAGGGAGCTGAAAGCCCTCTACTGAAATGTGGTGTAAGTAAAGGAGTGAACTGACTTACCTTACTTATTGAGGGCGGGGTGATGCCCATGGAGAGGACTCACCTGGGAGGCAGCTCTCAAGCCTGTACCTAGCTCCTTCCCCAGGGGCTGTGATGGAGGCATGGAGTTTGGGCCCCACGTCACACCTAAGTGACCTGTGAAAGTAGTAGACAGACACGCCCAGAACCCATCTCTAGACGCCTAAGAAAGATGGATTGGCAAATGCTAGTATATAATTTCCACTTTACAACAGACTGAGGTAGAGAGCATTCGTTCTTATTCATAGCCAAGTAAAAGACCCAATAAAAATGGAACAGACTGGAGTGAGAACGGGTTCCAATGCCAAGCCCCTCAAGACAAGATGGACACAGCAGCTAGTTCCAGGGTGCATTTCTAGTGGACTTTATTGTCCTGCTCCAACACCACAGTAGAAAGGGACCTGCAAGCTCCAGGCCTGTACCATGTGTCACCACAGCAAAAACATGACCCACTTGAACACACTCCTGCCCCACCCACCGGATAAATATGTTACAATTAAAAAAAAAAACAAAAACAGAATACAACAGAATAAATTAATAACTTAAGTGATTAGGCACCAACAGTGATTTGAAAATTAAATGTCAATTTTAAATGGTAACAAGACGAACTCAAGACTGGGCTTCCACTAGCCCATTTTCTCTTCCTGACAAATAGTGACAATTCTGCACGAAATAATTCTAGATTTCAAGACACAAGTAGCCAACGAATACACAACACATGCCACCAGAAATCACACGATAGCCTGGATCTCTGGGGGACCCCCCCCCTCAGTAGGCAGCCCCTTGTGGTCCCAGGCCCCAAAGAGCACTCGGGCAAATCCCAGGAAGATGACCCCTATGGAAGGGCTTTAGAGCTCCTGAGGCCAGCCTTACTTCCCCTGCATTTTATGAAGGCCCAGATGGGGAAGGAAGAGCTCTGGAAACGGGGTGGGGGTTCTGGGCCAAGATGTCCCATGGCAGAAGGGGCCAGAGTGGAGACGAGCTGAGCCCATGCTCTAGTAAATTCAGAATGGTTGTGCTTTTGTCCTAGGAATGGGGCATACTTTAATGGTTTCCAATGTAGAAGTTACCAAAGTCAAGCTAGAAGGGGACTGGGGATAGGTGCTGCCCACGCCTGACCATCCAGATCCCCCAGAAAGAAGTTACAGAGGGAGTCTCCTCTTCAAGCAGCTGAGCACCAGCTGTGGATGGGACCTCAGCGCATCTAATCCAACCTCCCATTCCACAGACAGGCAGACCAAGGACCTAAGTAGACACCATCTCCCCATTTGATTGTTCTCACTCAGCCTTGCAGAAGTGGAGCTGGAAGTGGGTGAAGAAGGCTCCTTGGAGAGCCCCAGGCAGGGGACTTGTGTGAAGTAGCGCTGGGTGGGAAGGTATTCCCCTACTTCCAGGGTCTCAGTCCTCGCCAGGCCCCCAGGAGAGGTGGACTTTGACCCATGGATAGGCCAAAGAACCAGTTTTTTCAACTGAGTTGACTCCTTTGTTGGGGGAGGTAGTGAGTGGATGGCAGGGATATGCTAGACACACCTGGTAGTTTGGGGCTTGTGAGCCAGAGCTTTGCTTTCAAAAGGCCAATTTTGTCTCTCATCCTTCCATCTCTACCCCTACACTTGCACCCGAGGGATTTTGGTAGTTACCGGAATCAGGAGCTGGAAGGAGGCCTCCTGGGAGATTCAATTTGAACACCTCAGTCATGCTCTGAAGATTCCAGCCAAGGTCCACTCACATCATGGCACACTGAGAACATGCTCACATGTTTATGGGAGGCTGCAGTAGTCTGGGGCCCACTTGTGGCTGCTGCGGGTACAGGGAAGGCACCAGTGAAAAGCTCTGTTGTATGGGGCCCCTTGCAGAGGGCCTTAAAGGCACACATTCAGGGCTGGGCAGAGTGAACCAGCACCCTGCCAACTCTGCCCAGTGTAGGCGCTGCCACTGCTACCATTCACTTGTTGGAACACCAAGGCATGGCCCCGGCACTTCTGAGTGGCTGGACCCATATGCTCAAAGGCCTTTTGTTCCCAAGACACAAGGCTTTCCAAGTCTCTCCTTCCTTCTTCCTCCACTGGACCCAAGCCCTGCCCTCCTCCTCTGTAAAAATCTGACTCATCCCCTTCTAAGGCCTACCTCAGGCACCCCCTTTTCCTAGAATCCACCTTCCCTGATTGTGACCCCACTCCTGCCTCTGGCACCAACTTCCCTAAGTCTTCACTTCCTCTGCCCTCCCATCAGCATTTAAAGTCTCTCTCTGATGGCCATCACCACTGTCTTGTGTCCTTGTCCTTTTTCTGATTGTGACTATCTCAAGTTCAGGGACAAGGTCTGATTGATTCTTGTGTGGTTGGTGCTTAACCCCAGAGACTGGACACAGCAGCCATTAATAAATGCTCCTTGAGTTGATCTAAACTAATGCTAGGAGGAGAGGTGCAACTCTTGAGGAAATAACTTCTTCCAGGATGGGACTTAGAGAATGGCTAGGCCATTGGTCTGGTGAAGTATGCATGCTCATGGGAGCTGAAAGGGGAGTGGGGGCAGAAGGGAGTAGCTGCCCCCATCGAACATGGCAGGAAGTCACTCTTTGGGAGGAAGAACGTCTGTTCATCCCAGGGTAGAATGAAACATCTAGTCTGTCCTGTTGCTTCTGAAACTCTTGAAAATTTAGTCAAGAACTGTCAACATAAAAAAATTCAGATCCCCCACCCTAGGCTTAAGAGAAGGAACCTTGGATGATGCCCTACACCCCATCCCTGTTAATCTGATAGCCTTTCAAGCCCGGGGAGGAGAGTCCAACATGGCTCCTGGAATGCTAGAGAGCAACAGAGGACGGATGAGATGGGGAAACCCAGGGCCGGCACCAGGCCAGACTCGTTCCTACCCTGCGATCTGACATACGCCACAGCCCATGGGCACAAGCTGTCAGCCACGTCTGATGTCGTCTTCTAGGCATCATTCTGCCCTGCTTTCTCCTTGTCCTGCCTGACCTGCTGTCCCTCCATCCTAGGAACGGTGCTCATGTCACACCACCATGCACACCACTCTTGCACAACGTGTCACTCCTTCACTTTCTGCTCCACCCTGTACCCCCAAGCATTGCCTTGGGCACTCCCCCACTCCCAGGCCCTTTGGATATATTTCCCCACTTGCTACATGGCCTTCACCCCTGCTTCACATCTGTCTGCTACCTCTGCGCCCAACTTCCACTGCACTGCTCACTACATAGAAACTCGCTGCCCCACCCCACTGCAGAGTCCCCTGCCCTGCTCTGCGCCTCTGCCCAGCCTGTGCCTGTCCCCGGGTTCCCCTCATTCCCTGAATCACACCCATCCACACCACACTCCCTCCCATATTCCCCACCCCTTTACCATGTGTTCCTGCCCCACGTGCTTGGTCGCCCAGCTTGGTCCAAGCCTTCCCCTGTGTGATGCTTTCAAGGTGAGGCTGGCGGGAGCCTTTGAGGGGGTTGAGGAAGAGGACTGCCCTTGGGCCTAGAGTGGCCTGTAGCTCCAGAGTTCTGGAGACCCAGACCCCACAGTGTCCTTGTCATCTCTACCACCTGAGCTCCAAGCACTGCTCCTTGCTGCTCTAGGTTGGCCATCGTCAGTTTTCCCTTCCTTTTGTCCTTCATCCTCCGCCTGTGCACCCCACAGCAGCTGTCCTGCCATGGCCTTAGCCTGAAAGTGGGGGTCCCTGCAGATGTAAGCTTTCACTCTGCATCTGGGCATCTAAGTCCTTTACCCCTCAAGACCACTGATGGGCCTCCTTCTCCACCATCTCCTCTTTTAGTGGCCTTGCTTCTCTCCTGCCAAGAAAAACAGGAATGAAAAAGTCCATTATCCACTTTGGTCTACTGGTCCTTGACTCCCTGGGTCGGTGAGACTTGTCTTCTGGGACTGAAGGAGAGGTAGCCCAGTGGCCAGAGGGAAGATAGCTGAGGGCTGTGACTGAACGTGAGGTGTGGAATCTGGCTCAGAGCCCCAGCCCTTCCCTCCAAACATCTGGTAGATAGTCAGGTCTAAAGGACAGGAAAAGGCTGAAGGATGCTTTTTGGCAATAGCTCCTAACTAAGGTGGGTGGAGGCATGGCCATTACTGATAAAAATCACAGCTGGGCCCCGAGTGGGCAGAGGAGGTGCCTTGATCAGGCCCTCACCTCCCAGGGGAAGGGTTCAGGGTCCCTGATGTCAAGTGCTTTGAAGGCTGAGACTGGCAGAGTAGAGAGGAGGTGAATGGAAGGAACAATGGGAGAGGGGAGAGGGGTAGGGGAGATGTGAAGGGCTAGCTCTGGAGACGCTGCCTCCTGGCCCCTCCCTGGGCTCTGCGGTGGCCCTCTCGTCACAGCTTGGCACCCTTGGAAGGCTCCGAGGACTGCCGCACGTCTGTCCACTCCTGCATGGTGTTCTGCAGGGCCTGGGTCTTCTCCTTGTCCACCTGAACATAGTCCACCTTCTCATCAGAAGTGACAGATGAAGTAGATGGCTGAGGGGACAGAGTGGGAAAGAGGGAGTAGCTGTGAGTTACCAGTTAGGTGGGGAGGAAGAAGATGGGCGTGGGATCTTCCTGAGCTGTCTGAAGGGGAGAAGAGCATGGCCTCTGCCTGCCACTGACCAGCCTCAGGAGCCTGGCTTCTCTTTCTGAATGTGGGCTTTAAAGCTCAGACTCCAAACTCATTATCCCTCCTGCAGGATGCGGCAGCCCCTGCCAGCCCTTCTTACTTCCCGGCTCCTGGGACGACCCAGGCCCTTCCTTGGCCCTGGTGGATGGGTCCAGGCCTTCATCTCTGCCTCCACCCATCTCTGTCAG